ACATGTATTAGAAACCAAGATAATTCAGGATCATTCTATTTCGCGGATTGTAAAAAAACAAACAAAAAAACTATGCATTTTCCCACGTGTGCCACAATTAATACAAAATATTCTAAGCTTAACATGTGATCGCTTGTTTTGTTGCGATTGTGTAAAATCACTTGGGGAAAAACTCGTTCTAAGCACGCGACCGTTGGCATGCAGTGAATACTCATAATCAGCGCCGAGATGATTGGTAGCTGTCAGCAGGTGGAGTTTTTCCATCAACCCAGATTTAGAATGTTTCATTCATTGTGTTGTAAGCAATCAGGAGACAACTTACGCCAAATCTGAGGGTAATAAAGTACTATGAGCATTCAAACATAATGACCTGAGCAGTATATGTGTATAAGCTTTAGCTTTTGATCCACCCTTCCCTCTCGATATGCTCAACGCTAGCGTAAAATGTAGGGCTTTCATTCTTAATAAGCTTACCATGTGCGTGCTTACACTATATTTTGTATGTGGCGGTCCACCGGCCTACCAAGCAGCAGATAAAAGACGACGACGTTACTCGTCGATACGAGCCCGGTGGTGGCACGAGAGAATAAACAGAACGTTTTCACCTAAGCTCGGAGTCGGTCGCACCATCTATTCCGTCCTCAAGATCGAACGCGCTACAAAAATGGTGACCCGGACGTGATGATCGGCTCCGAGCACTTGCCATCCAGGGGAACGTTCTCCGCGGCACGGGACACGGCAGCGGCTTGGGATTTGGACGATTATGCAAGAACACATCTCCCTCGGCCCCCGCATCCGGATCCTCCGACACTGCCTCCGCCCCGTCGCGTCTGCCGCCGGCATCTCCCAGCAACGGGCTGCGACCACCTCGCTCACCCCGCCGGCACGGCAAGTCTACGTTCTTTGGCATTTCCACCACTGCCGCAGCCCCTGGTGTCACCCCGGCAGTCGTGCCCATATGTGTGGTGTGGTGCTGGCCTGGCACGGTCGCGTGCTGCCACAACATGTGGGGCGTGCCGCACCGCGCCACGCTGGGGCATGGCAAGTCACGGCGGATCATACTGTTCTTGACAAGACACTTCGCTAACCGACCAGGGCCTTTTTATCGCTGGTCATGCATTTCCCTCCGCTCGGTGCGTCACCTCCAGGGATGACGCTGTATCGGTCCCACAGCTGACCGCCATGTCCCTTGGAGCCCAAGCTGCGACGGAGCCCACTCCACATTGGCTGCACAGCACGAACGCATCGCTGTGCCCTTTCTCTGCTGCCGCATTGCTCCAATAAGCCTGACTTCAGCTCCAGTGTCAACAAGGAAACGGTGCCCTGCGATTCGATCGACGACAAAGAACAAGCGGCTTGTTGTGTGGCCTTGGTCACGCGCCGCTGCTAGTGCTGGGCCTCGGCGTTTCCCGACCACGAGCAAGGTCTCGTGCACCGTGTGGCTCGTATCGACGAGTAACGTCGTCGTCTTTTATCTGCTGCTTGGTAGGCCGGTGGACCGCCACATTGTACAACGTCAAGCTGTACCCGTTTGCATCTTTTTAATTGTTGCACCCCACTACTTGCGCGCAAAAACCACAAAATTAAGATTGGTACAGAATGTAAAAAAAAAAATTAGTTTTTTTTTATTGCAAAAATAAATTACGCATTGCATTACGCTCATTCTCCGCCCAAACGAAGCGCCAGGTCACAACCAGATGTTAAAGTTTCATCCCTAACTGGCACCTTATTCAAAAGTATAAGTGATTTTCTGAACATTTCAATGGGAAAATGGAGACCATTTTTGCCCGTTTTCGGTTTCTGGTGCCTTAGAACCCCATGTATTCGGAAACTCCGTCGGACGCCATTTTCTCGCTCAACGTTTCAGAAAATCACATGTAATATTTGAATAAGGTGTCGGATCGGGCTGAAACTTTGACATATGGTTGTGACCTCTAGCCCTACCTTTGGGCGCAGAATTAGCGTTCGGTGATGCCTAATTTATTCTTGCGGTAAAAAAACATTTTAATTTTTTGTTTTGTGACACCCTGTACATTGCTCAAACTACGTACAAAAGCTATCCAAGACCCAAAATCTTTGCCGGGCCAGTCATTTCATTTACCACTGAATTCGTATTAAAATTAACTCTTCTCATTCATTGCTGTGAGTTAATTTTTAACCTAGGCATTTTTTTATTATGACTCCCACACCAGTCCTCTTCGGGTTTACCAAACTCAACACCCAAACCTGAGTGTCATTTTTTGTGTTTTCCAGTCTCGCAGTTTTGGTCAAAATGAACAACCAACTACCTAAATGCGGCACCTGACCGCCCCAAAAATAATTTATTTCTTTTGATTTCACGGGTACCTGATTCCTCTACCTAGAATTTTGGAAACCCAAGTCTATCACGTCTTCACGTTTTCCTGGAAATCCACAAAGAGGTAGGCACATGCACGACAAAAAGGCCAGCCCGTCATATTGCCGCCCTCAGAGCCCAGAAAGCAACACTCGGTCACGAACTTCTAGAAGATTCGCGTTCATTCTGGCACCAGACGTAACTTTCGCCCTGCTTTCTTGTTCTCGAAAGTGCCAGCTCATCCTCGCCCCGAACGCGCGACGCTCAAACCTTTTTTGCCCCACTTTCGAGACGGTGACGCACGCACTGTAGATAAGTAGCTGCCAGCGACTTTGTTGAGTCAGTCTCGCTCTCGCTCTCTGTTACGCTGCCGAATCGCCGCCTTCATTTCTGCTGCCTCGATGCTCTTTCCTTACTTTTTGTAGCGTTAGCTACATTGGCCGAGGTTGAGCAGTTTCGCGTGGCTCCCAAAGAGCCGTGCTGCGCACGCGCGATGAGCAGTGACGTCACACGGCGCACAGCTGGCGCGCCGGAGCTGCCGCTGCCGCGCGCTCCGCCTGGAATAAGGACTCCACCTATGTAAAGGGCCAGTTTGGCCTGCAAACTCTCCCTGTATTGAATAAAAGTTTTTCGCCACCACCACCACCGCCACTGCACGCGCCTCGCCGGTCTGCACACACCAGAGGAGTGACGTCATAGCCGCGGCAGACGCACTGGCGCTGCCGCGTGCCCGGCTGTCCGCCTCCCTTGCGCAGTAGCCATGTCTGACGCTACACCGGAGCCGTTTGATAGCGCCTCTCATTTTGTGTGCATAACCTCACGCAACGCATATTCTGGCATAGCCGAGCTAAGCCACCGCAATTTTTCGTTGGGCACAAGTTCGCCGATTAAACCTTTATTTTTCAGCTCACTGTTCATCCTCTCGTCACCTTCATTCGTGTCAGTATAAATCTAATCACATTGAAATATGTGTAATTGGCCTCTGAAATCTCCGATAACGGCGCACAGGCAATTTTATATATTTCAACGCGTCGGTGTTTTTGTTGTGCATGTGTCTCGCCATTTGGCTCAGGACGATTTTCGCGTTTTGTTCTGCACACATTTGCTGGAGACGTGAGTTCGGAGCGTGGGCAACTGGCCCCCTTGCACTAAAACTGGCGCAGCCGTGCGCGTTCCAAAGAAAGCTCGTGCAGAGACAAACAAGCGAGGGACCAGGGATGTCAAATGCAGAATACAGAAAAATACCCGACTATAACGAAGCGCCACCACACACGATTTCTCGCTTTGATGTAAAGGCCTGGAAGGCGATCCAGCCGCCATCAGTTGGTTCAGAATCACACTAACCAAGGGTGAAGTTGCACCTTAAAGACCAACGACCAGTTCGCGCTTTCCAGTTTGCCCTCGCTCCCTTCTCTCCCTCCTCATACACTGTCCACCGTTACCTGTTTCCTCCTCTCCCATGGTGAGCAGGATCTTCCGCCTTGCAGAATCCCGAATCCAGTCGTCGGCCTTTAATATTCAACGCTGTCAAAGCTACTGGCGGGAGCGCGTGAATTCGTTCCGGCGAGCACACGTGCAAATAATGAACGAGATCAAGCCTCATGCTCGCGCCAGTAGCTTTGACAGCGTTGTACGCTAAGTGTGAAACAGAGTATATAGATGTGCTCTAAATGAAATATTTAATGCAGAGCGTTATTGCGCATTGTTGCGTATTAGCGCTTTGTGTTTTTCAAAATAAGGGACCCTAATAGTCGATGATTGATACTTCTTGTCAATCCTTCCTATGCCTAGTATGTCAGTAAATATTTCTAGACCCGTGGCCAGAATAGTTTTTGGGGAACCCGCCCCAAATGCCAACGTCTCGCGATACGCAAACGCGCACGTTTCTGAGAGGGTGCTTTAAAAATAATGTTCGCAAAGACAATTTGTTTTTTTTTCAAAAACAAGGATTTTTTTTTTTGGTGGCATGGAGGCCAGCAAAATAATTTTTTTTATAAAAATTAAATATAGTCACTGGACATGTTTTTTTTATATTATATGAAAACGCTGAAAACCATATTACGATGTCATATCGAGACGGCTATAAGTCATTTTAAACCATGAATCAATTCTTTACCGAACCCTCCATTCCCAAAATGTTATGCGTCCGTCCGTCTGTTCATTTCCCGCTAAATGTAAGGGGAAATCGACGTCACGTAACCTGAAGACCAATCCAGTCTTCCCGCTAAATTTAGCTTAAAGTTTATGTCACGTGCCTTGACGTCACGTGATTTACAGAAAAGTTCAGTTTCCCAGTTAAATTTAGTAGTACAACTGTCGTCACGTGATCTATACACCAATTCAATAAACCATATGCGAAATGCAAAGTGTTATCCAGCGGGGTTGCGGAAGAACACGCTCCGTCTCACCAGTTAGCTTCGGCGCAGGCAAAAGCCAGGGCGCGGAAGAGTAGTTCTGAAGAATCATTCGCTTGCACAAGCAATCGCGCAAAAAAACCGCATTCAAAAACCACGCGCCCCGACCCTGCCTTTGCCGGGCACTCAAAGCCAAATTTCGAGCTGAAGTGTAAGTTTGTAAGTGTAAGTGTAAGATTACGGCGAGAAGCCAGTGACCGGCAGGGTGACGAGCGCGTACATGCGCAAAAAGAGCGAAAAACAATGCTAACCCATAGCACGCAGGTGTGGGCGAGGATCGATGACGGAGAGCAGTAGGCCTCGATTGCCACCGACAACGCTACGAAATTGACCAACAGCACGCAATCTCAACGCAACAAGGATAGCAGCGGGCAGATTGATGCCAGGCTATCGAACAATTTGGCATATGGTATATCCCCCCCCCCCAAATTAGCAGGTAAAACTAATGCAACGTGACCTCACGTCATTAGACATATACACCAATTCAGTTTCTCCGCTTAACTTCGCGAAAAAATGGTCACGTGATCTGACGTCACGTGATCTATACACATCACCTCCAGCTGAGTGAATACCCGCTTTACAGAGATTAATTAAAGACGACAATTGCAGCCGCACGCAAACAGCACAAATAGAAAAACAAATACGACAATAGAAAAACTGGCTACGACGGGCCGTTCAGGGAAGCAAACACATAGCTTCGAACCGCATTGGAGCGGGTTATTTTATTGGCTTTCAAAGAATTATGGCATCAACGTTTACTTTTTGCTGAGAGATTCACCCCCTGAGCCGTTCAAAATTCTCTCAGAGGTATAATATTACTGAACAAAACATGACCATGCTGGGAATATTATTTATGTTGTAAGGTCACCGAAAAAATTCGTACCTTCGATACAAGTATAAAAGACGGAAACGCAAGCTCAGATGTAGTAATCGGGTCAGTGTACTGTTGCATTGATGTTTTTATGTGCCGTGTGTGTCTATGCGCTTAGTGTTTATGTTCAGCTAGTGCTTCGAGTATGCATAATGTACTTACCTGCATCCATGTATAATTTTTCGTAGAACATGAATTGGGCGGTACATAGCGCCACCTAGCTTAGCTAGTTGCAATACTCTGCTTGACCCTGCTATCCGGTGGCAAGCGATTTAACCTCCTTTCACGCGACGCGGTAATTTCTGATTACCGTGCAACCGCTGCTTCGAATTTGCTCTTTCTAGAGCTGCCTCTAATTTTGCGAATGGTTAACCACTCCTCCGTGATGTGTGGTTGATGAAGGATTTGTGGTTCGAGGAATAGCAGGTAAGACTGAAAGTGCGCGAAGTAACTGGCTATCGGTTGTCTCCGCTTAACATCGCTGTGCTGACGACGAGAAGACTGAGTATCTGCTTTCGAAACGCAAGGTTCTTCACCTGCGGGGTAGTGGGCGCCTTTCCTAAAATATATCCCGCCACCCTAAGCTGAAACGGCATTGTATACAAATAAATGCCTACGGCGTCGGCTTGAGGACTCCGTGTAAGCAGCCTCCAGCTTTTAGAGTGCTCGTACCGTTTATCTTTCTTTTATTAGCTTCCCGCCAGGAGAAGTCGTACCGCAGGCAGTATGAAGCCCATTAGAGGAAACATCTCCCCCTTCTGGCGCTCGTCGGCTTCTTTCTGTATTCTGCGCTGTGGCGGATGGAGGCGAGGACGAAAGCGGGCTTATGTTTAAGCCAAAGTCGTGGGGAAGTCCGCAGCGTCTTCAGAAGAAGCTCAGACCCAGACTACACTGTACCCGGAGCGTTTGCTTCCTCTCTCAGTTGAGAAGAAAAGCAATTGGTCACCTGGTTGTACAAGCTGCATCCCCCCCCCCCCCCGCCCCCTCCCCCCTTCCCCCCTGGAACGTCTCCTCCTGGAACGTCCCCACCGCTCTTCCCTTGGCAATGAGCACACCGTGCCAATAAGATACCTTTAGTGAGCCCGTGGGCGACAGCATCTCAAAGAAAGCCAAAAAGGCATGCCAAAAGACAAGCCCAGAACCACGAAGAAACCATCAAACGAAAGGTGATGAAAAGGCGGCCGCTAGAGTGGAAGGATAATCCGCTGTGTATAGGATCGTACCCTTGAGGAAGGCTGCTTGGCGTATGCGTTTGGGAGCTTTCAGGGCACACATTTTTCGCAGACAACCTCCAAAGAGAGAGAGGGAGACAGAGAAAGAGAGAGAGAATGGGGACTAGATATGTTGAAGGTATTTTCCCCCAGTGCTCGACGTGCTGGCCTTGTTTGGAAGTGTGCCTGCAGTCGAGGACCCTGATATTTGGTGCGCCTCCCCACTGTCTCTCCACTTCGAAACTCCTGGCGCCGTCCCTGTCGGGAAGACGTCCCGTGACCTTGACGGAGATAAACCCCACTTTGGAAGCGCCCAGCAGGCGCGTACACCCCCCGCTGTTTTACTCTTTTGTCCCTCGCGTCGATTGCTTACGTTTTTTCTTCGAGCTGACGAAGAACCCCGGGGGGGGGGGGGATTGCCTGGCGAGGCGTTTGGGGGGGACGGGCAATCGCCCCCACCGCCCCCCCCCCCCTTGAATCAGCCACTGGTCTATGCGGGGAAGCGAGAACATAGCTGCCGGGAGCCTATGGGGACGCTGTTTCATTGACTGTCGCAAATAATTACAGTGTGTACCGTTACATCTAAGTAAGAGATACACTCCTTGGAAAGTTTAGCAACAATATTGGAGAACAATATTGGTGCGAAAGGAGCACCATATTTGTAACCTCGTTCACGGTTGAGATGGTCACTGAGAAAACGACTCCTCTCTATGATCAGTATAAAACGCGCATGGGTAGGCTTGGGTGGCGATTGGAATAGCGTGTCGTCGCGTGTGTGTTGGGCGTGTGTTGTGTGTGACATCTGTGTTCTAATTCCTTGTCTATGTTGAAATGTGTATAACGTGCGCAAATGTGAAATAAGTGTTCTTCGTATGTGAATGTAATGAGCGCGGAAAAGATCTACCCCAGAGATACCATATTTTTTACCAACTTTGAATTTGACGTTGACTAGCACCACCTGGGTGTGTAAGGACGCAATTCGCCACAAAACAAGGTAAGGGCGCAACATTTAGTCCCAGGGGCCTAAATGCAAGGGTGCGAAAGTTACTCCCGGGTGTTCAACTTTGAGGGACTAACGGAAGGGGAGCAAGGGTTGCTCCCGTTACCGTTGCTCCCCTAGGGGACCAGTGGCTGTGTCAGCGCATTTGCTTCCTTGGGGGAGCACGTCACGCTCCCTTTTTTTCTTAAAGTGTCGCTCTTGCACTCGATCGTGCTACCCTGCCGACCCTCGACGGCTGCGACGCTACACCTTTCTATTTTTGTTTTGAGTACAAGTTCGCCCCCATGAAACGTTTAGTTTCCTATAGCACTAACCGCCTTTCCGCCTGTCATTCGTGGCAATATATTGATTATTCGACCGGCTGCTGGGGAGATGGTCGGGTTTGTTTCAATCGGAGACGCACAAACATTACGATTAATGAACTCAGCGAATAGGCGCCACCCAGCATCCTTCGCTTGCATCCGGTGCGAAATGTGTATTCGCGTTCCTGTACTTTGAAATCTGCACTCGTTGGGCTGCACTTCACTTGCATCATGTATCCCACAGAATAAAGAACGGGTTCAGACACGTGGAGGTTTGAAGTTAAGAAGCAAAGTTCAATTCTAACTGCGAATCATTCGGCTTTCAAATCCTGCGAAGTAAATCGGAAGTTTTGCAGCTTTCGGTCCGTTACTGTGTGGTTGTTTCAAATTAAAATTTCTAAGAGGTAGGAAGCAAAAAATCATTCTCCGCTCCGCCCCCCCCCCCCCCTTTCCTCTCATCATCTGTAGTTCCGACGGGTATGGCGTACTAGCAACGGGTCGAACATTGTGAATCGTCGTTGCCACAAAGGCCGAACCGACGAACTTAACTGTATCTAGTTTTACCCTTCAAACATGTTTTACGCATAGAAACAAAAACGACAGGCAGTAAAAAGCAGCGAAAATCCGATGCGACGTGGTGTTCATTAACGACGTGATACGGAAGCTTGGCGTCACAGTAATCATTGGCATGTATTCTCAGTGTAGGGGCTCTTTCTTAATGTGTGTTTGTGTGTGTGTGAGCGCGTGCGCGCACGCGTGCATGTCTGCTTACGTTTCTGCTTGTGCGTGCGCGTGTCAGTGGATTGCTCTAGAATCGTACTAAATAGACCGACCCCGCAGCCAGTTTCATTATGCCACCTCTGCCGCCATGCATGATGGGAACTGTATGTCTTTCTGTACCAGGGATAACCCCGCTGAGGATCTGCGCGAGCAGAGCTCGAAGCGGCACGAGCTGTCCCGTGAACGGGCGCCTGCGTACTCTGGACCACAGTTATGACTGCGTCACGGATGCCGGGAACGCTTAGTGAGATGAGTCTATTAGGTTAACGAATCCAAAAAGAGGTAGCAAAAATGGAGGAAGCAAAAGAGAAAGCCAAAAGAGGAAAGTGAAGGGTCAAGCGTTAGCGTTTCTGAAGGAGGGACGTGTGTGGAGTTCCTGAAAGGTCATGCTAAAGCATTCCCTAAGGATCTAGCAATAGATATTCCTTGAATTTTAGTTTTGCTTCTTCGTGGACTGTTCTAACGTTTCTGGAGGACGGAAACTCTTTTTTCAACAATGCCAGATAAGGCGTCGGATACCTGGCAACCATGACTTTGAGTACCATAATGGTTGGATTCACGTAACCCTAAAGCTTAGCTTAGTGGCCCTAGCTAGACTCAAAAACCGTTGGGTGGTCATGGTCTGGATGATCTCAGACAAAAAAAAAATTATTTTAGTTTTTTTTTGTTTTTTTACATCTTTCTTGGAAGTTTGGGAATGCAATGCCCCGCGTCCTGTTTTCTCCAAAATCAACTCAGATAATCATTTCTTTTTTTTTCTCCGCACAAAATAATGTACACCAAAAAACATCGAATCTCCGTGGAAAAACTAAATTCCGATATCACAATTTCGAATTACTTTTTTCTGCATTTAATTAATCGCAGCTACTGCAGCTGCATTTAAACGGAAATGGAGCATCCGGCGATGCGCGGTTTATTTTGAATCAGAGAAAAGCACGGCTCTTTTTGTAGTGAACACATGGCAGGTTCAGACATTTTGCACATACTGTGTGACTTAAGGAGCGGCCAGGCTGTTTAAATAGACCGCGAAATTCGGTTTCTTAACCTATCGCGCTACGACTTTGTGCAGCGTTGCCCACAGATGGTGCTTTTTTTTTTTTTTGTAAAATTGGTCAAAATCGAACTTGCCTGAGGAAAAAATAAAGAAAGAAAAGGGTTTAGCTCCTATAGAAACGCGCGAAGCCACCGGTCTTCGGGCAATACGGCGCCGTTTCGCACGGGAGACAAGAGATGGCGCAAGCGGTCGCGACGCCAACTGCCGCCAACGAACCAGCATACGGCGCCGACAGCCGGAGTCTTTAGCAGACGATCTTTTCGTCTCCAAAGCGGCGCGAGCTTTTCTGATATTAGTGTCCAATACCTTATTTTATCATCCTTTCTAATGAAACATATTGAATGGACACATAATGGGTTAAAAAAATGGTCCGTCGGGTTATTTTTACTCTTTTTGTTTTCGTGGTAATTATGTCGTCTACTTTGCAGTTCCTTGTTGTTACCGCGCCTGTTTTTGCTTCTGCGACTGTCGCCGCTGCGGAACGCGCGCCGCTTTTGAGTCGAAACAATCGTCTGTTAAAGACGCCGGCTCTTGGCGCCGTATGCTCGTTCGTTGGCGGCAGTTGGCGGCAGTTTCTTAACCCACTGCGCTTGCGCCATCTCGTCTCCCGTGCGAAACGGTGCAGTATTGTTTAAAGACCGGTGGCTTCGCTGCGTTTCCATAGGAGCTATGCCTTTTTCGTTCTTTACTTTTTCCTCAGGTAAGTTCGCTCTTTGCAAATTTTACAAAAACAAAAAGTACCATCTGTGGGCAACGGTGCACGAAGTCGTAGCGCGATAGGTTAAGAAACCTAATTTTGCGGTCGATTCAAAGAGCCTCGCCGCTCCTTGGGTCACCCAGTAGTTCTGGGATAGCTTCACAGAATACACCATCTTATATTAAACTCATCTTTATTCTGCAATCCCCGAATCAAACGAAATCTTCTTACCTTTTCCAAGATGTCGATTATCAAGAGTTTATGTTCGAATAAATAACAGATGTTGTTAAAGACAATATGGTATTCCCAAAAACCTCATATAAAAAAAGCGATAATCGGGTTTCTCGTTTCAAATTTAATTTTGTAGATAATTTATATGTACAATATTTTGGCGATTATACGGCGTGCAAGTTTGTCTGCTCTTCACGGACGCGTCTTGGATCCCGCACACTCGCATCGCTGCCGCAGTGGCGAGAACCGAAGACGGTTGAAACCGGCAGCAGGCTTACTACCTGGATGATGCACCTATCCACCACTGAAGTAGAGTTCCGGGCCCTTGTTAGAATAAGTTGGATCCTCACAGACTCTCAAATGGTGACTACGTACACAAACAAGATTACACTGATCTACACTGAAAGCTCCACAGCCATCTGCATACTGCTGGCCCACCCAGGGTGTGAACCACTCAGTACACGATCAAGAACGGGTGTCTCATGATCAAAGACCAGAAGGATACTGCAGTCCAAATCTAGTGGGTGCCGAGGCACTACAGTCAGGCAGACAATGAGGCCGCACACGACCTGGCGAGCGAGGCTTCCACTCCTCGCCACTTGCAGGGTGTGCCGATCTTACGTGCGGCCCTCGACCACAGCCCGGAGGAAGAGAGGAGAAGACCAAAGCAACTACGAGTAAGAGAACTCCACGATCGTTTGTTCCCCTTCGAGAATCCACTAGCGAGGGGACTAAAGCACGAACGGTCTTCGTCATTACAGAAGGCGTGGTGGCAAAGTAGCGCTACAACCAAATACGCAGGCAAAGAGAAAAACACCCACCTCCACCGATCACACGTTACACCAGGTGCTCCGCCTATCAAGCTCTCACCATCAAGCATCTCATCTGGGAGTGTGAAGGACACAAAGAAGCCACACAAAAACACCTCCCACCCGTAGTATCTTCATACGAAGACTGGATCAATCCGACACAGGACCAAAAGAAGACCTTGCTCGCACTGTGGAGCCTCGCATGTGAAACCTCATTCGTGCGAAGAACTTAATTTCCAATACCCTTACCCTCCCTTCCTCAAGGAGGACCAAGGCCAACCTTTCCGAAATAAATGTATTCCGCCTTCCTTTTTGTTTGAAGCATTTTGCATAACATTTTATACATTTAGTTGTTAGCTATTGATGTATTCATTAACTTATAAAATCTTCTTAATTCTTCTAAACGAACACCATGTTTTTTTAAGTTTTTTTTTGTCGCAACAAACACTTTTTATCATTTATTTCACACATATATTTATTATTTAGATACAAAGAAATCACACAAGGCAGAATTCCGCGGTGTTCTGCGGATGCACCAAGAATAATTTACACTAATTGGGTGACAGTTGGCGGGCTCTAATTCTTCATCTAGATGTAAACACAGATATATACTGTCCAGAATTCGATGAACAAATTACAGATTACGACGCGGAAGCTGCAATAGTATTGCTTTGATAGCGGTGTTAGTCATCATCCTCTGACTGTGAAGTAGTTTCAGTTTGACAACTTTTTTCACACTCAGTCTTATTATACATTAGTGTTTCCGGGTCTCCACAGCTCAACAAAAATGCTACACGACAGTTTCTGGGAAGTTTTCTAAATAATTTAAGATTCAATTTATCTTCAGCATTATTTTCTGTTATGCAGTCCTCCGTGTTCTTGTCTTTGTCACTCTCCTCTTCTGGTTGAGCCTCCAACTCTGTTAAAGTTTTATTCAACAAGATTTCATTCAACCAGAACTCGCAAACTGCAAAGAAATTGAGCACTATTTTAAGACCACAGTTAGAGCAAAAATTTTATTGACTAAATATTCAGTCAGGAAATATTTGAAGAGTTGAAGCATATATGTATCCTTTTGGGGAGAACACACTGGCTAACGTGTATAGAGCGAGACGGAACACAAACGCTCACGAGCTCGTTTCGTGGTTACTCAGAGGCAAAATGAAAATGCGGAAATGTGCTTGGTTACTTCAAACACCGTTTAAATTGTAAAATAATATTATTTCCAGCATTTAAGACTGATCTCGCCTGTATATACTCTTTTCCGCTAACGTTACTTTCACGGTGATCCGAAGTTGAGTGCATTGGGGGTTTCCCCAACCTTGATTACGCGTTTCCGTCAGGAGTGTGCCGGTTGCTGCGACGAAGGCGTCAAATTAAAAGCTCTATAATTCTACGAATAATTCGGCGTGCATTAAAAAGTAAATAAAAATTAAGATATAATCGCATGTTTAACTAAGCGAAACGTTTCTAGAAAGATATACGTATGTCCCAAAGGGTAATTAGCATCGCAGCAGCTCCATTCAAATAAGTTTCTTTGAAGAACAGGTCAATGGTTGAGCGGATTACGTTGTGCGACAAAAATAAGTTTTATTTCAAGCGCAGCTCTTAGGCGCCCGTTTCCGGCTTGAGTGGCGTCGCCGTCGCCGTCGGCGTAACCGGAACGCTTCGGCGTAACGTTTTTTCGTGACACGTCGGCGTCGGCGTAGCCGTAACGCATCGGCGCAACGCTTTTTCGTACCGCCTCGGCGTCGCCGTAACGCATCTGTGTAACGCTTTTTCGTGACGCGTTGGCGTCGTTGCTTGCGTAGCCGTAAGGCATCGGTGTAACGTTTTTTTGTGACGCGTCGGCGTCGCCGTCGGCGTAGCAGTAACGCATCGGCGTAACGCTTTTTTGTGATGCGTCGCGGACGCCGTCACCGTCAGCATAGCCGTAACTCCTCGGCGAAACGCGTCGGCGTGACGCGTCACCGTCAGCGGAACCGCGCGATGCATTATGGGAAACGTTGCATAACTTACCGGGGTGACCCGCGCGTTGCATTATGGAACATTTCCTATAATGCACTTCGCGGGAGAAAGGAGGAGGAGGAGGGAGGAGGAGAGAGCACGGCAGGAGTAGATGAGGAGAGAGGAGGAGAGGGTACAGATGAGGATGAGGGGCATACCATCCCCCTCCGTATCCTCCTGTTCTCTTACTCAAGAGCTGCGCTCTAATTCGGCACTACAGGGAGTTGTAAACGTCTTTGACTTTTTAGAGCGCAGCTCTTAGGGGCCCGTTTCCAGCCTGAGCGGCGTCGGCGTCGTCGTCGCCGTCGCCGTCGGCGTAACCGCGCGTTGCATGCAACAGGTTGCATGCAACTGGTTGATGCAACTGGTTGCATGCAGGATGCAACAGGTTCCATGCAACAGGTTGCATGCAACCTGTTGCATCCTGTGCAATTTGTTGCGTCCTGTGCAGCCTGTTGCATGCAGCTAAGAGAAAATGCATCAAGATGCCTGCAACAGGTTGCATGCAACCTGTTGCATTCTGTGCAACCTGTTGCATGCAACCTGTTGCATCTTACAAAAAACACCGCAACGTCGGCGTCGGCGTAACCAAGGTCACCCCAAGGTCACGTGACCCCCAAGATCACCACAAGGTCATGTGACCCCCAAAATCGCCCAAAGGTCACGTGACCTTTGGGTGTCACGTGACCCCCAAGGTCACGTGACCCCCAAAGTTATGTGACTCCCCAAGTCACGTGACCCCCCGATGACGGCATCAGTGACGTCACTGATGACGTCATCGGCATCCGCATCGTCATCGTCATCATCACTGATGACGATGCGATGACGCCATCATCACTGATGACGTCACCGGCATCCGCATCGTCATCATCACTGATGACGTCACCGGCATCCGCATCGTCATCGTCATCATCACTGATGACGTCATCAGTGACGTCACTGATAACATCATCGGTACCCACATCGTCATCGTTACTGATGACTTCATCGTAATTGTCATCGTCCCGTGACCCCCAAATCACGTGACCCCCCCCCCCCCCCCCCCCGAGGTCACTTGACTCCCTCAGTACCCTTCCCTCCTCCTCCTCAAGAGCTGCGCTCTAATTCGGCGTTGTAGGGAGTTGTAAGCGGCTTTCACTTTTTTATTCCTAGCTAATTGTCTTGGTACGCTCAAGCACTGTAAGGTTCAAACGAATAAACATAATATTCACAAACACAAAACCCCATTAACATATGTGTCTTTTAGCCAAACCTGTTTTAATCATTAATTGGGGGCGTCGCAAATTGTTCTGATCTGTACACTGCGTCTCAGATTATATGCCACAAGCTACACAAAGACAAACTTTTTCCCTTCAAGGCATAGAAAATCCAAACCTTAAAATGTTTTTATCTAACTCTTCAAACCACTGTAGTTTCTGAACTTATCACAGTCTATCCACAGTCCTTAAATTATGTTTTCCAGATTTAGTCGCAAAAAATCAGAATTCGAAATTATTCGACCTATATTGCTTATTTTACTTGAAGCATGCTTCGACTTCGACGCAACAAAATATTAAAAAATACACAAAGGAAGTCTTATATGTCCCGCTAGGATATAAAATCACTATACTTTTACCGTATTTGGAAGACAAGAATTCTGCGAAACGCACTGAAAAAACAACCATGAGCCCTTCGAATGTGTGGAGGTGGAGGACCAGCGTAGCTGTTTAGCACACGCAGAGACCCGCTCCAAGGAGCTGGAGGAAACTAGACTCGCGCGACGTGACCGCCAGCCCGGGAGAGCGGAAGGAAACTAGGCACTCAAGCGCTGGGAACGACGACGAAGAGAGAGCGGTGCGAGCGTAGACATGGCCGGCGCGGGTCGCACAGCGGAAAATCCTTGAAAAATTTCTATTATCTACCTGAGAGTCTACGGATCCTGAAAATGGTGCCTATTCGTAACTAATCTACTGCATAGGCCTATTGCTAAATTACCCAAACATCAAGGAGAATGCAGGGAACGGTGTTCCACGCGCCGCTCGTGCCGGCGTCTGCATGCAGGAACTGTTCTAAAGGAAAAGCCTAAAATAAATGGCATCTTGCACGCAGGTTCGTCAACCCTTTATTTTGGGTATTTACCTCGAATATATTATACGCGAAGACGTGCGCGTGCGGCGCGTGCGGCGGTGCGAGCATGGAGTGTTTGGTTCCGCACACAAAAAATCCACGGAACCCTAGCTTAGCTGTAAAACGAGAAATCACGTGAAGTGTCAGTCCTAAGTTGCCTCTTGGCTTTGCCACTGTTTTCGATAAATGTCTTTGCGTACGGGGCCAACAAGGTCCACTTTTCTGCTACTTAAAATTGTTTTTGGGCATGTACCGAAGATAAATTAATAATTTAAATGTACTCACCTCCGCTACGCTCTAGCGTCCTCAAAATATAGCACGACGGCTCACTGAATACGACGTATGAATCATAATATTCCTCATCATGGGAAAAATATGTAGGATCTCGGAGTCCTGAGTCACATTGGTAATTAGTGTAATCAACTAAGTTGTAGGATCCATCTGCAGTTCTGCTTCCGCAATCTGGTGCGTCTTTTGTATAGAAAACAAAACGTTTACGAGTATGGTTAGTTGTGCCCCAGAAAAAAAATTATGAATAATATTTATTAATAATATTACTGTGATCTACTGTATACTAAAATTCCAACATAAGGTAACGTATCTCGCAATATATTTTTTATCTAGAAATTATTCATTTATTAGTGCAAATATTACACCAAAGAGAGTAAAAATTCACTAAAATATTTCCTGACTACAGCGACCTTCCCCTTCAATTTGTAATCTTACATATGCCTACCTTAATACGAATATAGCCAATAATCATATTTTGGACGTAAATAAATACTGATTAATTTTAAGAATTTTCATTCTGTTAATGTCTCGCACTGTGTCCGTGTCCCAAGCCCGTAACAATTAAACAGCTTAGACGTTTGTATTTTCTAACGCAAAATGTGTCTATATGCTTAGTTCTATGAGAACTTTATAGTAGCCTGATACAAGCTGACAAAAACCGGTGAACCCAGATTCTGTTGAGCTACCGTGCTCATTAATTAGTTATGTATGTTGCGCATACGGTCTGTGCCTGATGGGGGTAGGGCTGAATGTGGGGGGCTCGCGCAAACAATGAGTATGTTAGCTCAAAAAATGTTGTGTCCCCCGGACTTCGCCAGCATGATCAAGCTAATGTTGTTTTTCTTTTTATTATTTCAGGCAATGGCAGCCGTTTTGTTTCCTTACTGAATGCGTACACAAGTATGACTAGTAAACAAACAAAAAAAAGACGAGTCTTAAATTGATACATTCGTTGCCCTACTACTTTTTACTCAATAGTGATGTTCAGCTGCAGTCGCATGCCTGTATACATTCATGCTATACAAGTCCCTTAGCGAAAACTAAGACCTTTGAAATATACCACATTATAATTCGAGTGTTTCAATTACAGTTTATAATGGCAAGTACAGGATGAATATACCGAAAATGTACAGGTTTTTTTTTTTGCTTGATAATAATATATATTTCTGAGAATCTTTTTAAAATACCTTTAATTAAACAACATCTGAAGTACACTTCGTGCGTTCTGAAATATGTAAATACTTAATCAGTAGGCACAAAATGCCTTTCACATAGATTTCTTAAAATATTATTTTTGTTTCATGCAAAACATACTCCAACCCTAATAAAAACGCCGCGATGAACAATATGTGCACAATACTCTAAGAATACCTGGAAATCGTAATTACTCTTTTGATATATATACTCTAAGTAGCTTTTGACTGCAATACTTTGGTAGTTTGACTTTAACTACCAAAGTATTGAAAAGCTCGCATATCAGAAGTTCACTTCAAGCAGATGTGGAGTACACTGAAGTGACTAATACATTTGATTAGTTGGTCAATTGAGTTGTGCAGCATCGCACTGATAAATCAACCCAGTTTATGTTTTTCTTTTTTTCTATCAAGAACACACCTGATGAGTCTCTTGCACACCAATCACAAACAAGGTTCGGGAGCTACAACCACAACACTCGCTGATGCTGCAAAGCTTCAGAAGGTGCTGTGAGTAGATATGTTTGGCGTGGTTGTGTTAGCACAATGTTAGTTCACTGAATGTGTATACTCACCATTGTATATGATGTGAGTAGTGACTTTAATATAGTGGCGTTAATGACCATATTAAAAAGTCAACTAGTAAAGAAAAGCAAAATAATTATTTTAAAGTGAAGAAACTGCCTTGACTCGCTTTGTCCTGAGTGGTGCTATGCAGAGAAGCAATAACATTTCTTCTAGGAGCCGTTTATGTGGATATTAGCGACTGCACCGAATTATTATTAGTTGTACCAATGTTTTGTAGTAAGAGATATCATCCACAAACTTAAAAACACTGTTTTCCTTTTGACAGACTCCCGAGGTGAAGATCAAATACTTGGAACCTTAATAAGTGCAGAGGTGGTCACCGGCCAAATGATTGCCTTCAATATGTAGGCTGTATAAGGCTCTGGAGCAGTCGACGGGACTGTGATTCACGTGTTCAGTGCGTTATGGCGTTCGTGTTTGTGCTCGTTTCTAGTGTGTAGTTGTGGGATGTATGTAGTACCATCAAATACGGGACACCGTTTACTAACATAATTACCAATAAAGAAAGTAAAAGAAAAACATTTGTGTAGCCGGTTTTTAATAGACAAATGGCATCTTGAGGGGAAGGAAGTATGTTTTTGGTATATCTAAAATCTTTTCTGATCAACATTTAAGATATATTTTGAACATCTTACGCGTGTATTTCGAACGTGGACGAAATAATACAGATTGAATACAAAATTAACATCCAAGTTCAATATATTTCAACTATGTTTTAAGTACAGCCTCTTTTTGATAAGGGGTGCCTGAACAAATTAATCGCATGTTTGTGATTTTATTTGCTTTTTATTTCCGTTCCGACTACCACTAGAACAAGCACAACACTTTCCAATTTTTAAATGAGATCCATTACAGGAGCCCTGCAAGCACATTTTTGTTGGTTTTTACTTTGCACCAAACCTGAGCGCACTTCAGTGCGCTCAGGTTTGGTGCAAAGTAGTAACTTAATAGTAACTTAATGAAACCTTTCTCGAATTTCGCTTTATATTAAAAGTTATAGGCAAATTGGAATTACAAAAAGCAGCAAAAAATAACCTCCTTCATGGCGTCCTTGGTTGCTTGAGTGGGCGTGAACTAGAGGAGGGGCAGTGAGCTCAGCGAGCGGTCATGGTTGCCGCACTTCGTGTCCACAGCTCGAGAGGGCGCCACTAAAGCACGTTCTGGCTAGGCTGTATGAAGCGGGCAGCCACGGCGGCTCGCATTGCATTTGCTGCGCGATTAAACAATAATTCGGCATGACACTTCATTGGACACAAACGACAGCAAACACGGGGGAAAGATCAGTTCAGAACGGGAGCCACTTTGCGCTGCCAAACCGCCAAAAGGCCAAGCCGTAAGCCAAAGCTGCTCGCCAAAGGCGTTGCGAACGCTCGGAACCGGTCGGATCCTCCAGTCCATACGACCGCAGCGCCGCCGCGTACAACCGGGACCTTTCTACGCTCGCCGTTCGTTGGTGTCTGATCACACTACACCTTTCTAATATGCGCCGCCTTTTCCACCGCTTGGTGGCGGGTATGTCGAGGGATCATTTCTTGCTCCCCCACTTTCTAAACTACATTTGTTTTTGTTTTTTCTGATCTAGAATGGTGAACAGAAACTACTTTTATAAATAGTTGAAATGGCTCACGCTACTTATATTTTGTATTCCGACTAAATTAAGATTTTAGCGGCTCTGACCAGTAGCAAGCCCAGGACCAAAGACGTCACATATCGTGCGCTTTCGGCACCGCGGGTCGCCCCCGCAGGTGGAGGAGGTTTCCGCGTCGTCCGGTTAAAACATTACGCACTGATATTTACTTACTTTCTCCCTGCCTGCTGGCTTGCCCGAACCCCAAATGCCATGGAAACCGCAATAAGGGTAGACGCACAAATATAATTGCAGGGCCCCTTTAAGGTTTCAAATTGAATATGCAAATTTGAGAATACATTTACTTACCGGGGTACCAGAATCGGAGGATATTTTCTTGACAATAATTATTTTGTTTTATTGCTGCAACCTGACTGATCCATGTAACCCTGCGCGCAAAAGATAATTTTTTTGTTAACTCTTTTTTGTTTCTGACAGTCTGCGTCAAGTTACGAAATGCTAAGGACATCTGTATCGCTTTTTTTTATTTTAATTCAAAATAAATGATTGTGTAAATCATTTTTATGCATGATGAATAATAAAAGCAGCAACCAGTTTGTTCACTGTCAAAGAAGCCAACTTGGCGTCATCATTACATTTAAGAGTTCATTTGCTCTGTTTGCGGATAGGCAAGGGGAGAGATCTGTTTTTGAAGTATCCATACAAACCCTCGCATACTCGACCTTTCTGATTTTCCTACTTCATTTTTCATACCCAAAACATTTTTTTTACCGGTTTACAGGAAGTTCATGGGTGAAGGAAAGTCCAGGGCAGCTTTGGTCAAAGCCGCGCATGGCTACTTCTAAACACCCATCACTCCTCTCGTCTACTTCAGAGACTTTTACCATTATAATTATTATCAATAAAGACAGGAGTATATATTTGTTAAAATTGCTTTGAAAACCATGTGCTACAATCAGAATATATACTCGTTGCGTGCAGTACAGGCGAAGGCAACGCCCGGCGAGGGGAGAAAGGGCTGGTGAGTAGGAGAGAATTAAACCTCCTCTCCTCTCTAACGTTCCTAGAGCTCTCTCTTTTTCCCTTCGCTCTCCACTGCCCTTCTCTCCCGTCCAGCCTTGCTAGTGTCAACCCTTTCTCTCTTCGCCTGGCGTTGCCTTCGCCTGCACCGCACGCCACTAGTGACATGGAGTATAACTAGTCGTGGTCACTGTAAGCAATTCTTGAAAATATGACGTTCTTTTGTCTTTATAAAAGGGTCCTTTTAGCAGAAACATCACGTTTTGTGGACAATCCAAAGATGATATATTTTGTATCTCCTTTTTAGCTTACTTTTTACAATTTAGCCGGCTCGTTTTTTGATGTTGCCAAATACTTCTTGCCTCTCCAAAAAAAACGTTTTTTTTTTTTTACAAAGCGGCGACGTTTTATGCTACGCCACAAGAGGTGAAGTTTTATTATTTTCAATGCATAAACTTTATTACTGCAATCTATGGGTTTGCTGGATATATATTATACGTTGTATAATATAAGCTCCGGTGTTGTAATCCCGTGACAGCGACGTCTGTCAAATATACACCTACGCGGAGGATGTTGTACTTATTTCTGCTCCAAGACTAAATGCAGGTCTCGAATTGATGGGTAATATAATCTCAACTCTTTTATAATGCCTTAGTATACAATATTACTGTCCACAGTCAAACTCAAAGGCGTGTATTACGTACGTTATAGAGACGCAAGTAAATTGTGACAGAAAACAAGACTTTCTCACGATTTGAAGAACACGAAAGAATGAAACACGTAGGATGACGGCAGACAGTACAGTTCTTTGAATTAGCAACCGACATTTAATGATGCCACCTTCAATGATTCAGTTCTTTCTTTCCCCGACCCGAAAATCTCCCGGGATAGAAAAAAAAACCTCAGAAGAAAAGGACCCCGGGAGAAGGAAACGTCCATTAAGAAACAATAAAAAGATACCATAAAGAAATTTTAAAGAAAATAGAAGGAAACGGAAGAACGAAAGGAATTTACAAAGTGGGGAAAAAAACATGATTATCATGGAATCGAACCGAAGAGGCTACTTTAGCTCCTGCTTCAAGAGCTAAGGGAGGTAGAGGAAAAGTTCAAAACATCACCGGCCATCCGATAGGACTCAATTATCGCTATGCCAAGTATGTCCATATGTTTCCCGATAACTGGGGTCGCATGGAAGTGCGCCTCACATTTCAAACAAACGCGGTTATTCTCCACAATAGGTTGAAGGGCGTCACAAGTCGCTCCGGTTGCATTTTTATTCCTTTGTTGTTTTAGTATTCTTTCGTGTTCATTTGTATATTTTTTTTTAATTTATTCCTTCGTGTTTTTTTAATTATATTTACCAAACTGCTTTCATTTTATTTTATTTCTCACAAACTGTTGCTTGTTCTAAAAGAGAATTTAGTGTGGTACTATCGCAGACTTATATCAACTTACTGTTCTTCCATCCTTTTACTCCAACGGTCGTACTTGTTCCAGGTCAAGTTGTAAACCGCAGTCTTCAAAGTTTGGTTCAGGTCACTTGTCCTTAATTGAATACATCTCTTACTGCTGTAGTTATAATTGTACTCATTAACATACACCATATAGTATGCCACATTCTCAGTATTTCTAATTACCTGGAAAAAATATACGTTTTATTATGCATTATATAATCTCAGGTCTTGCTCCACATTGCTACTATCTCTTAAGTCAAAACAATCGTTCTTGCATTCTGGTGTAAAACCATCCAATAGGCACTAAAATATTAGCAACGAGTAAGGTAAATTGGAGCTAAATTATCTTAAGTTTATATTTAGCCCATCAAGCCCATAAAAGGGGTGTATTTCGAAAGGCAATATTCGCTCTCGCCCTTTCTCATTTCGCCCCATATTTTTATTCGGACCTCCTCGTTTCAACTTTCTCAAAACATTCAACCCGTTTCTTTTCTTTTTTTTTTTTTTTTTTTTGCATTTGGGCTTATTTTTTGTTCACATTCCCTCCCGTTCGCACTACTACCGAACTCCACGTTGTACTCAACCCTGCGCTGGCTCCGACGGCTCGTTGCGTGCGCTGCAGTCCACTTTAACCTTTTTGTGCTCAAAGTACTTTTTCTACAAAAGAGATAGATGCAACTTTCTGTGTTAATTAAAAGCAGGTAAAGAAACAATCTAAAAAAAAATGTATCCGTGCTGGTTTCGCCACAGTGAAATGTTGCTCCTGAGCAACATTGGGCATTGATGCCCACTATTTAGTACGAAATTCCTTGAAGCAGTTCCTTCATGGGACCAGGCAAAGATGCATGCTGCAGTTGCTGCAATACGGAAATCTCACGGAGGAAATCTCATGGGACCAGGCAAAAAAAAAATTGTTCGTGAATTTCTTTATTCTAGAGAATCCTCGAGTCCGTCTGCTACACGCTATCTAGAAAGTGTTAAAAGCATAACTTTGCAAATTACGCTTTATTTGCAATAAGGAATGTTATAATTGTCAAAACGAATATAACCAAATGCCACGACAAGCCACAGCCCTGAGAGAACGCAATCGATATGAGAAAAATGAAGAAACAAATGTGTAAGTGGTTTAGGATTTAGCTACCTCGCTCATGGGAGTGCCTACGGTTGCTAGAAAACGTGCTGCCGCATTTCTACGCCAGCGTCCCCTCCCCCCTCCCCCCCCCCCCCCCCCCCAAAAAAAAGCAATACATATATGTGTCCAAATTAAGAACGAACGTAGAGAGGTGAACTGCGGTAAATATGCCCGTGCTATGTCGCAACAAAAAAGCAGGCTCAGAATTAAGGCTGAACCACGAAGTTCTGAGCCAGCATGACGCGAACGACCAATTTTGGCCCAAAGCTACAACAGGTCGCTTTCCATCTCTCGGTTAGAATGACATTCAAAATATATATCAGTGCAATGATTCGCTTTCTTTTTGATTCCGGAACACATTCAGATGTAAAGTTGTCTTCAAGGAACACTACAGTTTGTGTTATTTTGAATGTTATCCACCTTAGTGGTGTATCCAGAAACAAGTTGCTTCCGACCCAGACAAACGTTGTGTAGGATGTAAACATTACGCGTGCTGCCATCTATGTTACCAGTGATGAACAGTCATTAGTTTATTGAGATCTACATCGGGCATTGGTGCCTACTCGCACTACTTGTATGAAGAAAAAAAATGTTTCAGACTGTTGCTCTTTGGCAACTCTGGGCATAAAAGGGATACCAGCTCCGCTCAATTCTGAAACATTTGAGATAGTGAGTTTACGTTCAATATAACTAATAAAAGGAACAACGTCATTGGCTTCGCGTAAAATGGGATATATTTTATGAAGTTTTATTTTAAACCAGTGTTGTGTCAATACTCAACAAACGTATTTAAGATAACGTACTAAATACCGATTTGAAAATGTGTTTAAACTCGTTTTATAACTACAGGGTGTCACAAAAGAAAATTTACACGGTCCTTTTTACCGCAAAAATAAACTAGGCATCGCCGAACGCTCATTCTCCGCCGAAAGGTAGCGCTAGAGGTCACAACCAGATGGCAAAGTTTCAGCCCGATTCGATAACTTAATCAAAAGTTATGAATGATTTTCTGAACATTTCAATGGGAAAATGGCGGCCGACGGAGTTTTCGAACACACGGGGCTCTATGACACCAGAAACCGAAAACGGACGAAAATGGGATCCATTTTCCCATTGAAAATTTAAGAAAATCACTTATGAACTACGCATTACCGTCTGATCAGGCGTCGCTCAAATATAGCCCTTGTGATTTTGGAGAAACTGAAATGCTTAGAACGTTACACTCTTTTGATTTAGAACAACAAAGATGCTTATTGTGGTTTTCAAATACAAAGGGTCTTCTCCTTCCAGCTGCAGCCACTTTTAATCTCCAAGTTTCCGAGATCTTCATTCGTATTCATTTTCTCATAGAATCTGTTTACGAATGCATTTCGATGCAAACATTTATTCTAGTAGAACTGAAAATCGATACGTAACGGCGCAAAGTTTACAAATGCATGTGCTTTGATCTTTCAATGTCGGGCGCATTTTGAAAGGTGGTTAAGAAATTAAAATCATACCTTCCACGCGTCTTGCATGATGCCGAGGTCCGGCCTGTTCAGATCAGGATTGTTGTCGGAAGATCTTTCCTTCAAATCAAATGTTATGGCGAACGACGTGGCAACGCTTACACACAAAACAAAATTCCTCAATGCCATGATACGCTCCGTCCGGTTCCTTCGAATGCAGTCGTAAGATCAGCAGGCGTATCGCCTTTTTTGTGGGGGAAATATCGTAAAAAAGAACAAAATTACTAAAACCTTTTCTGTATATGTGCGTGTTTTTTTTTTTCTTTTCTTTACAAGATGTATTTTATTGTTTTCGGTTGTCGAAATTCAACCTCTCCCTTCTTTGACTGCCAGATATGGGTGCGATTTTTCTGTTATCCTTCCGATAGAAGAACTAGCCTTGTGAAATATTCCTTCGCCGTTAATGTTCGCTTCCTATTTAAAGCAAATAACGAGGAACAGTCAAACAAACCTGGTGTGCACTTGATAAAAATGTTCCTTCCTTTCCAAAGTCAGCTAAGCTTAGTCTTAACAGTAACTCAGAGTGGCTGTATCGGTATATTTGTTATTTTTATTATATTGTTTTGGTGTATTCTTTTCGATCTCTCGCTACGCTCAGTGCTGGAGCGACACCAACATTGAGCATACGCGTTGGTAGCACAGAAATTGAGGAGTTTTATAAGCGGGCGGAGGCGCGCTATTTTTTCAAAATACCGAGAAGCGTAGCGTGAGTCTCGCGAGCACGAATCTTCGCAAAGTTAGGAAAAGCAAGGGACGAGAACGCAACTCAAGGTGTGTGCCACGCCGCATGTACCCGCTTCGCGACCGCGACTGTTCTTGGAAAACGATCCTTGCTGCTGTGACGAGTAGTCGCGACCAATCAGATCCTTCCAGGATTGGGACAAATGACAAACTATTACTTGAAGGTATTCTGCCGCATTATGAAAGGTGTCCCACAACAGTGAATTACACTGCACCAATGATTTGGGAATATTCTTTTGGGGCTCTCAAATAAAACGAACAGCGCTCGCACGTTGCTTGTAGTTGTGTCGGCAACTGAAGGAACACTCGGGAATGGATTTACGAAAATGGCACGAGAACATTTGTCGAATAGAGTCTCAGATGTCTCGCACTGACCGAACTTTCACGGGATGCATTCCGTTCACCCTTAAGCCGGGGTCACACTGCTTATACATCACACAAAATACAGTGTGCTAACATATTCGAACGGAGGTCAGCACGAGATAAGTGCTTCGAATGTTGCGTGGCAACGAGTTCAAAGAGAAAACTTGGCGCGTGGCATTCGAACCACGGATAATGCTGCGAGTACTGTTTACAAACTCTCTTTTCTTTAATGTAGGAGCAGTTTGGCCTCGGCTTTAGACTTGCAAAGAAGCGAAATCTACAGACAGTCAATGGCGGCATTAAAATTCCCTTCTGCAACGCGAGCGCTGAAGCTTAAAAGGCATGTGCTAGGGCACCAACCTCGTGCCAGTTTGCGCTATCAGCGTATGCTACACCGTTAGCATAAAGTGTGTCATTTGCTTTTATATGTGACACAACTACTTGCTCAGAAAAATAGGGTATTTGAGTAATGCAAACCGATTGCTTTCTTCGATCACATGATTATAAGAATTATTTCAATTTCATTTTTCTCAAAGCTCTCAAAGGCAATACATATGGAAAGGGTAAAACGTAAGACGTGAAGGGGCCTGATTATAAGCAGGAATATACGAAGTAAAAGTAGAGTACACAACCCCATGTAAAAAAATACGAATACCCTAGGTCTACATTACTATTATCATCCATAAAGCCACACTTTGTACGTGCATCTAAAATAGTATAATAAAAACAGAATTTCCGACCGGTATGGGATGTAAAGGCCTAAAGTCTTTATCTTACAAGCACACAACTCGCTCACACACAGCTGACAAATCAATAACCATCATGAGCTAACATGATCATTCTAGGAATTTTACGCAGCCTCCTTTGTTTCTGTCGTAATGCACTTTTTTCAGATCATATACGAATTCTTTGGGTTTTCTACAAGATCCCAAGAAAGCGAAGCAGCAAGTCTGGGTAAGATGTTCATACACTTCGATTTTGAACTTTTTTCATATTGCTATAACTTCCTAACGTTATAATCCTTCAATTTTGGTGCTCATTCTACTGTTACTTTCCTTTCTGCTATCGTGTTTCCTTCTGCTGTGGCGTTCCCTCCAGCTGTTGCTTTCCACTTTGCTGTCGATCCCTCTGCGTCCCCCTCCTGGCTTCCACATGAAGCTTTCTATCCACATCAGTTTGGCGACGTGCAGGACAATTTCTAATTCTTTGTTTCACAGTCAAAAGACGCATCTTTTGAAAAGCCATTGAGGTTCAGTAAATTGCAAATATTTTACAGAGAGTCGGCGACTCTTGAGAAGGCGTGATATTTTACCTAAAACTAAAGCAGTACATAAAGAGAGTTGTTCAAAACTATTATTCTGGTATGCTCTCATCGACCGTGGCGAACATCACAAAATTAAAATTGAGTTATAATTAGCGACAATATTTTATAAATCTACAAACTAACGTTCTAAACATTCACCTTACGATGCTTTATGCAGGCAAACATGTGTGGCGCGTCTTTAAGGCAGTCCATAGCATTTGACAGAATTTAGTTAACTACAGTTTTCTCCGCGCTATTCAATAGCTCATCCTGATGTAAATTTATTTCCAGCTATCACTAAAGTAAAGAGGCATTTTTTAAATATTTGATATGTGGTGAGAATCGATTCTTTATTTTTTTTTATATCTTTTACTTGAGGCAGAACATATATTTTTATAACTTTCGAACTTTAGAGAAACGAACTCGTGTGCGAACGTTCCTTCTGTGACCCTTGTAGGTGACGAGGCATATAGTATTAGAAAGTGTGGCAGGTTCGTGTGACTGTTTCTAGGCGAGGCTGATGCCGGACGTTATCGGTTTGCGTTTTTTGTTATCTTACCATCACCCGCCCCCCCCCCCCCCCTCTTTTTTATCGCTTATTTTTGTTTGACAGAAAAGCTGTATATGTCTCACGTGTCAGATTACGGGAATTGTTTCCTGTCGTCGTCCTCGTGGAAAAACACCGGCAGTGATTGAAGCGAAAAGTGTATGGCCTCCTTTACATGAAAGCGACTTCAGCGCATCGACTCCACTCGTTCTTAGAACGAAGTCGAGGCGGCAACGTCTACATGAATGCGCACCAAGCCCTACATGAAGGTGGCGCCACGCCGTGTCTAAGCTCAAAGTAATGCAGTTCCGGCGCCAGCCGCACCACTTTTTCCGGTGCATCTCATGTGGAGGCCTTTCGGCGCATTCAGTCCATTCAGTGAACGTAAAGATCGTTCCCGCTGTCTTCGGTGCTGTGGAAGAAGTATACGACGGTTACGAGACGGAAGAAACATCAAAACCCAAGCGTTTAGGGCTCCAGGCCGGGCCGCCGGGTCACTCTGGACCAGAGGCGACGTGTGTGCGCACGCTTTGAGGACGCCTCCGCGCTTCGCCGCGCCAGACCTCGCCCATCGCGACCGGACCCCGAGTCGGAAAGGCTCCTGCGGAGCCAGGAGCGGCACCGGAGTAGGAGCTGCTCGTTCTGTGCTACCATGCAGTGCTCTACAGTGCTCGGAGCTCTCGGTGTCGTTCGTGTTTGCGCCGAAGCCCTTGGGACCCCTTCGGACCCGCAAGTCGTACTTCGCAAGGCTTGGACGGGGGCCGCCGTCACCGAGCAGCTTACTTATGATGGCAATAAAAGCTCGTGCTTGTTTGCAAAAAAAAATTTCGGGCAACCATACGGGCTTGAATGGAACAGCGCGGATGAACAGTCACACTCACATGCACACAAGCATCCACATTATCAAGACCATACGGGAGCGCTCTCTGCGCCGCCGCCATGTTCTCAGCTGTTCACTCGCTCCCGCAGCGAGCGCCTTCCCATAATCCTCCCCGTTACAAAATGCGATGCGACCTCCGTTTACACGGGCAGAATGAATGCGCACTCGCCATCTCGATCCACCTCTGTCTGGCGGCTTGAATGCGATGCGCTTTCTTTGCGCATTATGCCGTTTACATGACCGCATTGAATGCGACAACTGGATTCGATGCGACTAAGTCGCATTCATGTAAACGCGGCTTATGTCAAGTTTACGACATGCAACAAAGCATTCGTTTCAATAAAAAAACACGCACAAAAGAAGCATCCGAACGAGGTAATTGATGGTAAGTCGCTCCTGATAACAATGTGAAGCACGCAGGAAGCTGCTCAGGCGACGGCAGCTTGCGACGTGGGGAGTTACGTCATATCCTTTCATACATAAAAGAGTTTTGGTACAGTGCATTTACTTTTCTTTCCTCAATCATTTGGTATAAACCCTTTTGCTGTTTACAAACATGAACTGTCGCTTCCGTCCCAAGCGACTTCCGGTCGCGCCGTCTTTGCAAGCCTGCTTATGTCACCGGTGCTAGAAAGCATAAATGCTACACAGACAACAACCTTGGAGATGTAACGGGGGCCTTCGGCTGTACACTATGGCATCTTGGAGGAGGCAAGTTGGTTTACAAGAATACCCTAAACATTTTAACAGATTTCGCACTCCTTCGTTCTTTGGGCGTTTACCTGGAGGATCGGGGGTTAAACGGCTCACCTACGTTTCAAGCAGCGGTGCTAAGGTGGCCTTTGTTTCTTATTTTTATAAACCGGAAGCTATTTGGTTCGTCAAACACTGGAGCTCCACCTGGGGGCGTTTGCCATAAAAAGGATCTCTAGAACCTTTTGCTGTTTACAAACATGACCTGCCGCTTGCGTCCCAAGGCAACTTCCGGTCGGACCGTCTTTGCAAGACTATTGAGCTTGCTTATGTCATCAGCACTAGAAAGCATAATTGCTACGCGGACAACTAAGTTGAGCTAAGGCCTATCAAAGAGAAAATCAACATGTGATGCTGTTGTTCGCATTGCGCTCTTCTCTCTAACGTGTCACCAGAAAAAAAATATAGTAAAATATACTTAACGAAAATAAAATATTAATTTAATGTACATGTATAGAACATGCATTTGAAAGCGAATTTTACCCGAAAAGAAGTAGTTAAATATTTACGTCACCACACTAATTTTCAGTTAGAAGTGATATCGAAAGTCCCTTGGATTCATTTCGGAGTGG